AATCCACACAGGAGAGTGACCCTATAAGTGCTTGGACTGTGGGAAAAATTTCACACAGAGATCACACCTCATTAAACATGGGAGAATCCACACAGGATCTAAACTTCTGTGTTTCATGGCAAGAAAGGGTAAAGCAGTTTGCATGTAATTGACTCAGATTCAACCTTTAGAGAGAGATTTTAAAAGTGTGTCCATTTTAGATAAGCTAGAGTTTGAAATGTAAACGTGTATTGTTAAAGACTTGGAAGAAGGGGGTATCTGTAGTGGTCTATGTTTAGCTATATCTTGTTAGAGGTTAACAATTTATCCCAAGGGTTCCTGTATTATGTTAATTCAGGGATCAATAATTCAGAGATTATACCCGTCGCCCCTGCCACCTGCCCAATTCTAGCTCAGTCTCATTGAAATCACTGGGGGTAGGGGCTGAAGGATGGAGGGAATGTTTATAGCTGAAATCACCAAAATGTGTTTTGCAAGGTTAGTGTTAATCGGATCTGTTCCGCTCTCCTGCTCGGACATTTTCTCTGAGGATCCCGGATATAGAAATGAGTAGGTGTTACCATGTTGGCTACCAATCCTAAGGGTGACAAAACTAGGAATTCTCAAACTGGGGGGCAGGCCTCCCAAGGGAGGCACGGGAATGTGTCAAGAGAGGTGTGACCTCTGTGGGTTGTTTGGTTTTTTTTTAAAGAGCACTGGCTGTTAGCTCCAGGTGGTTGGGACTTGTGAAAAAGGAGGGATAGCTTGGTGGTTTGAGCATTGGTCTGTTAAACCCAGGGTTGTGAGTTCAATCCTTGAGAGAGCCATTTAGGGAGCTGGGTCAAAAATCTGTCGGTGGGTTGGACTAGATGACTTTCTGAGGTCCCTTTGCACGCTGATATTCTATTCTATGACAGGCCTAGCTGGGAGGTGGGGATAGATGTTCATGCTCTTCACCTGAAGGTGGAGAAGTAAGGGTGTCAATGGGGTGATAAGTCTGCTGTGAACAGTGATATTGGTGAATATCACTTTTCACGTGGCCACCCTAACTTCTGTGCTGCTATTGGAGACCTTCAGAGCTGGGTGCCTCACCAGCAACTACTCTGCCGTTAGAGCTGGGTTCCGATATATGTGCTTGTGAGGGTGGGGGCGTAAATGACCAAAGACATAAAGAAGGGATGGGGGCGGAGGGGGGGCTGATGAAACACATTTGAGAACCACTTGGGCACCACATTTACAAAATGATAAATCTTCTCCAAAGTATGTCTTGTGAGGTATCATAGGAAAAGTCAGCGTCTGCTGAATAGTATTGTCCCGTTGAAATGTGTCTATCAGCACTGTCCATGGAGCTCTGAGAGTTTGCTGTATGTTTGTTACATGCTGTAAAGCTGGAAAACGCCCACAGACGAGCTCCTCGGAGACAATGGTACCTGCACACCAGCTATGTGCTACGTGGCCAGTAATTGCTCAGCCGGCCATTCACCAGCTGTGGAGCTGGGAACAGGAGAGTTACAATTCACCGTAAGGACGGCTGGACGCTCACTTAGGCCACAGACTGATTGTCGCCTGCCCCCCGGCTAGGGGGTGAACCTCAAAGAGGAGAGTGGTATAAAAGCAGAAGGGAGAATTGCCTCCATTTTTACCTCTCCTCTCCCATCTTTACAGAAGTCAACAATATGCCTTGAAAGGCAACAGGGGCCTTGGACTGGGGAGGACAGACCAAGGCTGGAAGGAAATTCAGCCTGGGTACTGAGAACTGTGAACTGCCTGCAACAGCGGGTGTGGTGGGAAATCCTATTTGCTTTGTATCTTCCTTAGTTTGGTAAAATTTAGGATTTAAAATGCATTTTTAATTTTATTTTTTTAACCCATTCTGACCTTTTACATCTTTCTCCCTTGTAATCCCTGAAAACCCCCTTGTTCCAGTTTAGTGTTTTGTCTGGACTGTGTGTTTTCATTGAAGTGTTTGGGGGATTTGACTTGAGAGAACAAGGCTGTGACCTAATCAGGCCCCTTTGTGGGGATGACAGACTGAGCAGTCCAAGATGCACATTCCCGGGCTGCAAGGCTGGGAGTAGAAAACTGGCTGATGTTGCTGTGTCAATTGGTACGTTCCTGAGTGTCTGGCTAGTCGCACTCAGTACAGTGCAGCCAGGAGTGACTGTGAAGGCTGGTGGCTGTGTGGGAGCAGAGCGTGGAGGGGTTTGTTGTTCACACAGAGCAGCAGTGTAAAACATGCCCTGGGATAGAGAATTAAGCAGTTCAACAGTCCAGATTGTACCCTGGGGTATGTCTCACACCGACTGTGTCCTGGGACCCAGCATGGCACCGTTGGGCTTTCATCATCCTGATCCTGAAAGGCAAGCTGAGCAGGGCAAACCAGAGAAGGGGAACCAGCCAACATCCTCAACTGCTTCGGCTAAATCCTGAACTCCCCCTGTGATGTGACACTTGAAATTCTGCTGTCAGCCTTCCCCTCATGCGTCTGTTTCCTTCCCACGCGTCTAAACTATTATGCCACCCTCCCTCCCCCTTTCTACTCTCTCCCCTACAAATCTGGCCCAGCCAGCTGAGACAACCAGACTTTTGCACCAGTGCCGGTAGCCTGTGACCAGGGAGGCAGGTTAGAGCAAGGCCTTAGCCAGCCCAATGCGGAGAGAAGTTTGCCACAGACGGGCTGATCAGCCAGTTGCCCGAGCCCAGGTTTGTCCTGCAGGGAGGCTGCAAGCGAGACTGAATGCTGATAGGAGAAGTTTCTACAGAGGACTGGGAGAAGCTGCCTGAGCCCAAGGGAGCTGGGTCCCCAGGGGCAGAGTCTGGGGCAGGGGGCTGCAATGTGATGGGTTTATTGCTAGGACCCAGGAGCAGCTGGGAGGCGGCTCTGGGGGGAGCGATCCCTGGTGTCAGTCCTGGCAGCAGGAAGTGACTCGCAGCCGCTGCGGTGACTCTGGCTCCCAGGCTCCTGGCGAGATCCCCGAGCCCCGGCGGCTGGTGCTGGGAGCCCGGAGCCCTGGCTGCAGCCGGGAGAGGGGAATCTCCAGCAGGGCCCTTCCCGCTGCTCCCCAGGAGCCTCTCCCAGGGCCGAGCCCCCAGCCTGGCCAGGGCCCCTTGCAGGTGTAGTGTATTAAACTGCTCCGCATAGGAATGTGCTACCGGTAGCAGTTACTGATACATAATGGATTGTAAGAAACTGCTAGTGTAGTAAACTGCTACCTGATGTAGCAAATGCCTACTGGTAGCAGTTTCTTGCACTATAGTATATGTGAAATTGCTACATGTAGAAATGTGCTTTCTGTAGCGTTATTTATAGGTATAGATTGTAAGAAAGAGCTTTTGTAAAAAGATGTTACTTCCCTCATAGGTCATGTTTTCTAGACCTTTTTTTTTCCCCCTCTTCTCTGGACTCTCTCCAATTTGTCCACATCTTTCCTGAAATGTGGTGCCCAGAACTGGACACAATATGCCAGATGAGGCCTAATCAGCGGAGAACAGAGCGGATATCCCAGAGTGATGTTCTGGTTTTTTTTGCCTAGATCCCTTTCCAGAATATTCGTATTCAGCTTGTGGTCCAGATCCCTTTCCGCAGTCATTTCCCATTTTGTGTGCGTGCAGCTTGTTATCATTCACAAACTTTATAATTGTACTCTGTATGCCATGATCTCAATCATTGATTCAGATTTGGAATAGAAACTTATCCAGAACTGATCCCTGGAGAACCCCACTCGTTCTGCCCTTTCAGCCTGACTCAGCCCTTTCAGCCTGTGAATCACTGATAACTACTGTCGGAACTGTTTTCCAACTAGTTTTGCACCCATCTTATTTTAGCTCCATCTAGGTTGCATTTCCATAGTTTGTTTATGAGACGGTCATGGGAGACAGTATCAAAAGCCTTACTAAAGGCAAGATAGACCAGTCCTACAGATAGCATTTTCACACACACACACACGAAATTGCAATCTGTAGGGATGTGCTACCTGTAACACTGCTATATATGTGTAGCAATTTGCAACCTGTAGCAGAGAGATAGTGAATCCTTACCATTAGCAGTTCTTGAGAGCTGCGAAGGGCCGCATCCGAAGAAGTGGGTTGTAGCCCACGAAAGCTTATGCTCTAATAAATTTGTTAGTCTCTAAGGTGCCACAAGTACTCCTGTTCTTTTTGCGGATACAGACTAACACGGCTGCTACTCTGAAATCAGGTAAACAGTATCTCGTGACCAGCTAGTGGCTTTCCCTTACAAGCCACAACGCAGTTTGAAAACCCCTGGCCCAGCACAATAAGCAAACCTACCCTGCTATTTTCATTAAGAGCAAAAGAAACTAATGCTAAATACTGCAGCTGACAGAATGCGATGTAAACAAGTATCACACAGATCTCTCTCTTGTTAGAAGAGCTTTCTGCTAAACTGCACATGCCCAGCCCAATCATACTCCCTACCTTCATCTGGCTTCTCTCACTCAGCACAAAATGAAATACACACAAGATGGCATTTCGAAAGATGAGAGTTTCAGCTGATTAACCTGCCAGATAATAGCTGCTGCTGCTGGAAATATAGTGGAGGAATACACCAGAGAGATTACACTGATCAGGCCTTTTGAGAATTTACCAGGGAAATCCAGAAATTGTATAATTCGGGATTCTGAAGAAAAGTCCAGGGAAATGAGAGCCAGGATTTCCACTGACTTGCTGTGTAACCTTTGGCAAGTTACATCACCTTGTGTGCCTCCAGTTTGTCCTCTCAACTTTCCCCTGCCCTGTTAACTCAAGAGTAAATAGGCCAGCTACAATTCTGATTTCGGCAGCGGATCTTTTCACCCCTCTGGATCTATCACCAGGTGTTAGATAGAAGTTGGTGTGCTTCCCACCTCTTTTGTGTGGTGTAGTGTACAAAAGAGATAGAGAAATGATTTTTGCAAACAAACATTCCATTCCTACATGGAAACTATTGACATGCTTGATAAATGGAAGTATGTCAACAAATTCTCTAAAAACAACTGTGTGGTAAGCAACACCTTTGAGAAACCATTCTCTGTCTTCATCAGCCTCCGTAACCATGTCATCAAAATCACCTGGATGACCGCTTGAAGCTCTTGACACTACACACTCCTCCTCTTCCGTGTGTGTGACCTCCACTTGGCTGTTGTGAGGCTTGTTAGATACATTGCCTCCCATTTCTCCTACCTCTGAGGTTTTCACAGTGTCATCCACAGCACTTTCCTTTTCCGTGTTTCTTTGTGATATGTTTTCCTCACCTAATTTTGGAGGCTCTTTAAATACTTTTAGTTGGGAGATACTGTACAACTTTGCTAAACCTTTCCCTAACTTGTTTTCTAATTTTACTCTTTTGCCCTCTACAGCGGCAGTTTTGTATGGTCCGACGTAGGTAGGTTGTAGCTGCCCTCTCTTTCTTGTTTTCCTTCTCGTATTCAGTAACATGACAGTGTCACCAACCTTGAATGTTATTTCCCCATGTTTACAAGTCTTAGTTTTGGCATACTGTATTTGTTGCTTTTCTTGTGCTTTTGAAATATTACTAATAGCCAGTTTAGTTTCAGCATCACGTCCACCTTCAATTTTCATGATGTACTCTTTGTAGTATTCTTCATCAGATTCCTCAAAATCTGTTGGCTTTGGAAACAAATGGAGAAGGAGTTGTGTTTGTAAAAAGAACAATCGCAGAATAACGTATGCACCTGAAAGCTGAAGGACACTTACCGTATAGTTGTCTGAGACTTGGTCTGGGAATCTTGCCTCAAAGCCGTACAGCAGTCGATGACAATTTGGTTGTCATGTTTGGTTTTGTTCTCAAAGAAAATATGTCACCAAGAAATTCATCCCAATTAGTCGCACTGTCATCAACCAACTTGCGCAATGCTCTGTAAAAAATGGGGATGGATTATTTGTGGGGGAAGGGGAAAGGACTGTCTTTACTGAGAGAAATTGTATGCAATCGAAAAGGCGTAAAGAGGCCATCCTAGTGCAGTGGGATAATTCCTTTTACTTGAAATAAAAGACAAGTTGAGTTTCAATGTACTAAACATTTGAAGCAATTTGTAGCTTCTGTCATAGTGCAGTCTCCTTTCTATTAATATTGTAATTTTCTCTGCCCTAAAATTACCTTTTGATGGACTTGTTTGTGTTTTCAGCTAGTCCATTGTTTTGTGGATGGTATGGGTTGGTGAAGCTACATTGTATTCCCAATTTTTTGCACATCTCTAGGTTAAGCTGAAAGGAAAAAAACGTATGCCATAAACTTTCCTTTGGACAGGTTTGGTGTGTAACCCTAACCCTAACCCTCTCTCCCGATACCTTACATGGCATGCTTTATATGTAAGATCACAATTATATGAAAATGAGGAATATGGGGTACACTCCCCCAAGGTATAGAATGTCACACATTCATTTTCTGATATAGCTGTACACCTACTCTTAAAAGTTTTCTAATAAATCACTGTTTAAAAATGTATAGTGTGTATCTTCTAGAAATGAAACTTATATCTAACTCTGAGTTGTGAAGAATATGTATTAAGGCTATAACAACCAACAAGAATGCACTTTTATCTAGAAAACCATGATTAAATCGAGTCTTCCTGACTAATGATTTAAATCATGATTAAAATCAATTTGATTTAAATCAAATCCACCATGGTTTAGGGTCAGTGTCACAGCCTTTATGTACATGTTTATTACTCAAGAAATCTTAAGTGACACTTTCGCTGTATGACAAGATGCTTAGTCACCATCCTCAAAATACCCATTAGACAAACACTTGATACCAAACACATTTTTAGAGAAGAGAGAACCAACCTCACATTCCTATATTTTCAGGACTGTTTAAAAAACATTTTGCAAGTGGAATTTCATAGCTATTGCATGAAAAAACCTTAATGAAAGTCTGAACATTTAAAAAGAAATCTTTATTAGTCCCTTTCCACTGCATAGTAGGTCATACAGTCTATTAATAAAAAAAGAAAAATTGAAAGCACACAAAACATTGAGAGTAGTGAAAAACATTATAAATAGTATATGAAATACTTAATTCCTTTGGAAAGCAAGCTCATAGGCAGAAAATCTACCATTGTGCTTTATACAGACTTCCACTTCTGTCCCTGTTACCTCTTTGCTCCTTATGTGTGTGTATCACCACAAAAATTACACTCAGAACTGTGGTACTCACGTGTCACCTCATTGCTCTCTCATTTAATTTTTGAGACATTTTCTTTAGCCTTTGTCTTTACTGTTAAAACTTAACTTGTCTTGTGTTGTTTTCATTAGTTTTATTAGCAGTGAGATAAAGGCCTATGTCTGCATAATGGGGACACAAGATATATTATACACACCTGGATTATTCTTCAGTGGTTGACAATGTCAGATCCTTCTCATTCTCAGTATGCTGAGCTGAGCTGAAGTGTCTGTCTTCTCATCATCCAGATTGCTGGGACAATCATTTCTCACTGTTCAGTCTTTGTACCTCAAGTGTTTCCGGTTGTTCTTGTAGGCTGTCATTGTCCACCTTTTCTTTCTTCCCCCCAGTTTCTGGAAGGGTCTTGTGCTGTGACCTGGGTCAAACAGCACCCACTGTAGAGAAGTATCTGATCTTGGTCAAGTAGTCCCCATTGTATAGCACTATCGTTCAGAGGTTCCTATTGCACACAGTTCCTGGGATAATCTTTATGTCTTTGTGCATTCCTTCAATAAGCCACTAACATTGTCTGGCCTCATCCAACAGAGCACATGTGAAATACAGAGACATGGTCAATATTTCTAGCCTCAGATACAAACGTTACATGCATAGAGGTTGGATAAACACAGTCAATAGGTCTTAAGTTTTGCAATGATACCCCACATCAGCCATCTTGGATAAAGTATATATTAGCTATGTCATATCCAGATCATAAGCATATTTTCATAAAGAATATAGAGGATAATGTCACACCCCACATGTACGTTTGCTGATCTGCAAATAGTAAAGGAGCATGCATCTTTGGGTGCAAACGCTCATGACAATAGTGCAGAGCCATGCAAGCTCCATGATTCTGTGTGAGATGGCAGGCAGTGAGGTGGGCCAGGCAGGTTTGTGGGTTTAGAAAAAAAAGGTGTAAACATTATGTATACATATATGTATGGGATACATATAAAATTAGTGGATAGTTAACAATGCATTCTAAGAAGTTGGATCCCATGGCCACAACCACCCTGTCTGACCTGTTTGGTACCCAGCATACACTGCCAAACCAAAGCTTCCCAAAATACAGTGGGATCTATTCATGGTGCACCTCACTCTGAATCTATACAAGTGCTTCCGGTGAGTCCCCTGACTGCTGAGACAAGGAGTCCAGGAGGCATGCACACAAGTGACATAGTAACCGTACAAACAAGAAGAAGTCCGGTGGCACCTTAAAGACTAACAGATAAGGTGCCACCGGACTCCTTGTTGTTTCTGTGGATACAGACTAACACGGCTACCTCCTGATACTTGACATAGTAACCGTAGTGACTCTATGCTGACATAACTTGAGTTAACTACACTTAAAGTGTAGATATGGCCTTAGGTATATTAAATGTTTGGGAGAAGTAACAGGAAAGTATGAGGGTACACTAAGATTCATTCAGGTGTTTAGTCTCAAGGCATTGGAACTGGACTTACTGCACCCACCCTACAGGCTCAGGAACAAAGAGGCACATAAAAAAAATATATCATTTATTTATTAAAATGTCTTGACTCGAGGGTCTATAACTCATTATTTTAGAATTCTTGTGGTTGTAAAAGTATCTTGGGGTTGTATATTATATTGTAGATTATATTTTGAAAGGCAAAACCATGAATGGGATGAACAAAGAGCTAGATCAGTCCCTCAGGATAAGTAGATTGGCTATTAGCCAAGATAATCGGGTGCAGGCCCATGCTCTGCATGTCCCTAAACTGTCCTTTGACTCAGTGGTGAGCTGGAGCCGGTTCGCACCGGTTCGCGGGAACCGGTTTTTTAAATTTAGAAGCCCTTTTAGAACCGGTTGTCCAGCGTGGGACAACTGGTTCTAAAAGGGCCTTTAAATTTAACAAGCGCTCCCTGCCGCGGCCCCAGCTCACCTCAGCTCTGCCTCCACCTCCTCCCATGAATGCTCCGCCCTGCTTCTCCTCCCTCCCTGCTTCCCGCGAATCAGCTGTTCGCGCGGGAAGCCTGGGAAGGCTGAGAAGCAAGCAGGCTTCCCGCTCAGGCCCAGGAAGACAGAGCTGGGGGAGGGGGAGCGAGGAGGGCCATGCACCCAGGCCGGTCTCTGGCCGCGGCTCTGCCCAGCCCTGCGTCCCTGACCGCCCGGCTCCGGCCGTGGCGGCGGCCCAGCCCCGTGGCTCTGGCCGCGGCCCTCCCCGGCTGCGGCCACGGCCGTGCCCTGCCCTGCGTTCCCGGCCGCCTGGCTCCGGCCGCCCGGCTCCTGCTGCAGCGTGACGCGGCCAGGCTCCGGCAGCGCGGGGCTGGGCGCGGCGGTGGCCCTGCATCCCTGGCTCCGGCCCTCCCCGGCCGCCTGTCTTTGGCCGCTGCCCTCCCCGGCTCCGGCCGCAGCCCCCTGGGCCGGCCTGGCCCCGTGGCTCCGGCCGCCCGGCTCCTGCTGTGGTGCGACGTGTCCGCCCGGCTCCTGCTGTGGTGCGACGCGGCTGGGCTCCGGCAGCGTGGGTCCGGGCGTGGCGGCGGCCCCGCATCCCGGCTCCGGACGCGGCCCTCCCTGGCCGCTCGTCTTTGGCCGCGGCTCTCCCCAGCTCCGGCCGCCCGGCTCCCGCTGCGTCCTCTGGTCCCGCGTCCCCAGGCTCCAGGCTCCGTCCGCAGCCGGACTGTAGCGCCGCCAGCCACTCCAGGCAGCGCGGTAAGGAGGCAGGGAGTGGGTGTTGGAGAGAGGGCAGGGGAGTTCGGGGGGTGGTGGGGAGGTGGATAGGGGTTGGGGCAGTCAGAGGGCAGGGAACAGGGGGATTGAATAGGGGCAAGGGTCCCAGGAGGGCAGTCAGGAAGGAGCAGGGGTTGGATGGGGTGGTGGAAGGCAGTCAGGGGCAGGGGGTCCAGGGGCAGTCGGGATAGAGAGAAGGGGTGGTTGGATGGGGCAGGGGTCCCTGGGGCGGGGGGGGGGCGTCAAGGAACGGGGGGGGGGGGAGGGGGGGGGGGGCCCGGGGGGGGGGCCATGACCCCCTCGTGGGGTGAGGAGGGAACCGGTTGTTACGGTTTTGGCAGCTCATCACTGCTTTGACTGCCAGATGATGGGAGTGGACAATGGGATGGTTCACTGAGTCATTGCCTGGTCTGATCATTCCCTTAGAAGCACCTGGCCTTGGCCACTGTCACAAGACAGGATACTAGATTAGGCGGACTATTGGTCTGACCCACGATGGCAGTTCTAATTTTCTGCAAAAATTACAATCGATTTTTTTCCAGGGAGAAAGACGTTATAGGAGATAGTATCCTGCCTTTATTGAATATTTGAGAATCAAGTTGTTCACAATGGCATGCGGAAAAACACTAAGGGCTGGACTGAGAGGCAAAATAACAGTTGCAAAAATGCAATCCCCATTGGTGGATTGACTCAAAACAAAGTTTTGACACTAGGCCAGAAATTCAGTCACCTCTAAAATGAGAAGAAAAAATTAAATTTAAAAATTCAGGAAATTCAGGGCATCCCAGCAGCAGATAAGACAACTTAGGAAACTGCTCGGAGACTCTATGCAATCAGATACAGTGATAAGGGATTCTTTGTTTATGAGGGGATATGTGTAAAATGTTTCACTGAATTAAGTCTCAGGGATTATCTACACTGGCAAGTTAAAGTGCTCTAACTTGCTGGCTCAGGGGTGTGAAAAATCAGCCCCCCCCTCGAGCGCAGCAAGTTTGAGCGCTTTAAAGCGCTAGTGTGGACAGGGTTGGATCCCAGTGCTTGGCGCTAATCCCGTTGTGGAGGTGGATTACCAGGAGCACTGGCACCTGTGGCCAGGGCCGGCTTTAGGAAGTGCGGGGCCCGATTCGACGGGACCCCGGCAGAGATGACTCACCCGGCGGCGCTCCGGGTCTTCCGCGGCACTGAAGGACCCGCCACCGAAGACCCGGTAGGGAACCACCCGGTGAGTACATCCCCCGCCCCATCCGACCCCCACCCATGTCCTGCCCCTGACTGCCCCCCTCAGAAACCGCAACCCATCAACCCCCCACCCCCCGCTTCTTGTCCCCTGACCACTCCTTCCCAAGACCCCCCACCCTAACTGCCCCCCAGGACCCCACCCCCTACCCAACTCGCCCTGCTCCCTGTCCCGACTGCCCCGACCCCATCCACCACCACCCCGACAGACCCCCGGAACTCCCACGCCTACCCGAACCCCCCCTTCCGCATCCCCTGACCGCCCCCCCCAAAACCTCTGCCCAATCCAACCCGCCCACCCACTCCCTGTCCCCGGGACTCCCTGTCCCTGCCTTATCCAACTCCTCCCTCCCCACCCCGGTCTCTTACAATGCCGCTTACCCCCACTGGAGCCGGGCTGGGCCCGGGGCCGCACCGCCCGGCCGGAGCCGCACCACCCGGAGCCATGCCGCTGGGCCGGAGCCGCTGGGCCGGAGCCGGACTGGGCCGCGCCGCGCCTCCGTGGAGCCCTCCTCGCACCCCCCCGCCCCAGCTTACCTGCCCTGCTTGTTTCCAGGCTTCCCCCCGAACATCTGATTAGCAGGAAGCAGGGGAGGAGAAGGGGGGCGGAGCGTTCAGGGGAGGAGGGGGAGGTGAGCTGGGGCCGGGGTGGAGAGCTGCCGGAGCTTGGGAACCGGCTCCAGCTCACCATTGGGCGCGGGGCCCTCTTAGGCGTGGGGCCCAATTGAGGAGAATTGGGTGAATCGGCCTAAAGCTGGCCCTGCCCGCGGCAGCGCTTTGAAAGTTGTAGTGTAGACATAGCCACAGTAGGTTAGATCAGACAAAGAGGAGCTGCAGTGGCTAGGCATTGGGATACTTGTGCCTTTAAGAACCCAGCTCTGGGAAGCCGATGCTGAGAGGTGCTGTCTGTGAGAGGGGAAATAAAAAAGGTCCCTTTGCCCCCCACCATTTTTGCAAGCACGGGTGTCTCAGTCCCACTGGGGTAACTGTTACACCCTGTGCCCCGCCTGTGCCGGGTTTTGCCCTCTGTCACCCTCTGCCAGCACCTCACCCCGAGCTTAACTCCTGCTCCTCCCCCCCAGCCC